ACCATACGCCGATTTCGCCATTCATGAAATAAAAACTTCTTTTACATTATCTTCATTTATTACTGCTTCTTCACATTTCTTCACAAAATCCGTTAATAGGAAAATTTCACCGTTGTTTTGAGATATCCAAAAACCTTTAAAATTAGTGGCAAATTTAGGTATCTTTCACTATACATATTTAGCTATGTATCATGAGCTTGGCGACTAATGACAAGTTGTTCCGTTAAATTTTATCTTACTTCTATCGCACACCGAGACAATTAAGCCTGAATTGTATTAGTTTAGTTATTTATTATATTTATGTCTATTTCTTGCACATGCTTATCAGAGTTCTGAATAAATAAATTCCCACCATATATTTAAGCCTTATTGAGGGACTGCGCTAGATATCTTACCTCTGTGGTCAGTCTCTGCGGGTCCGAAATTCTGTGATTGAATGTTGCCATACGAGGCCTGGCGCTGGTTCTGGATTCATGTGAATAACGAATCAGTTATTTCTAATTTAAATAGCCCTAAATGTAATCTTTGGGTCTATGAGCATCATTAACAGAATCTATGTTTAGCATATGCAAAGAAATGTTTGGTAAATTTTTCCTTGTCAACTTTTTTTAGCGTATTTAACTTAAATCTGTAATCATCGCCAAGCGTAATGTCAACATAAAAGGTTACCACACTCCTTTATTATTCAATTACTAGCATAAAAGATTGTTTAGGCATCGCTACAGGTGTCATTACTCAAATTGTCATGTTTTGATAAACATGATGGAAGGTACAGTACAAAGTCCAAAATCCGCACCTTCATTATCCGGAATGATCTAAAATCTGGACCTCAAAACCGCGAACAACGTTTTCTCGTAGGCTTTATGCATGTGCATTTGATTTCACCCTCCGCGCATAATAAAATATCTGGAGAGTCCCGATTCTTAATTTCATTTCGACACCAAATAAAATACCTTGTTATTGAAGTAACAATCATTTTAGCATAAATTTGTATGATCAGTAATTTGGCTGTGTTGCTGAGTATCTGCTGGCATACATCTCAAACCGAAACATTCCACATAGATACATCGTTGATCTGATGCCAACCTGGCGAATCATTATTTATTACACTTTCCTCTTATCGCCGCATTAATATCAAAACATGCCAAATTGAGTAATAACTCATGTAGCGACGCCTAAGCAATTTTTTTATGTTAGTAATTGAATAATAAAGAAGTGTGGTAACCTTTTATGTTGACATTACGCTTGGCGATGATTACAGATTTAAGTTGAATGTGCTAAAAAATGTTGACGAGGAAAAATTTCTTTGCATATGCTAAAAATAGATTTTATTGATAATACTTATATACCAAAGATTACATTTAGGGCTATTTGAATTAAGAATAACTGATTTGTTATTCGCATAAACCCAGAGCCAGCGCCAGGGCTCGTATGGCCGCAATGAGTCGCAGAATTTAGGACTCACAGAGACTGTATCAGGCAGTAAAATATCTAGCGCCGGTCCTCAGTAAGGCTTAAGTATATGGTGGGAATTTATTTATTCAGAATAAGTTATTTATTTTAAATAAGTTATTTATTCAATTAAGTATAATGAATAACTAAATTAATACAATTCAGGCTTAATTGTTTCAGGGCATGATAAAAGCAAGATAAAATTTACCGGAACAACTTGTCGTTAATCACCAAGCACATGATACATAGCCAAATATGTATAGTGAAGAACAGTTAAATTTGATGATGATAGCTGCTAATTTTAAAGGTTTTTATATATCGCAAAACAAAGGTGAAATTTTCCAATTAACTGGTTTTGTAAAGAAATGTGAAGAAGCGGTAATAAATAAAAGAAGTTTTTCATTGTGATGACAATGCTTCACAATCATCAATCAATTAATGAATGGTGAAATCTGAAGTATGGTTCTAAATCCGAAAAACACCGCTACCGATAGTGAAAAAAGTGACAGAGAAGTTACTGAAAACGAGAAAATTTCGATTGACAAGTTAGTCGGAATTCTCGAAATAGCAGCTACAGAAATTCAACAATGTAACTAAACAAGAGATAATGTCTATCTACAGATTTAAAGAGAAAGTATTAGCACACACACACACACACACACACACACAAAAAAAAAAAAAAAAAAAAAAGAAAGAAAGAAAGAAAGAAAGAAAGAAAAACGAAGCAACTTACATTGAAAGAAATGTTTAATAAAATAAACAAATAAATGTTAAGCTTTTTTTTTTTTTTTGTAAATTTTTATACCCTTTAGATCATAAATACTTCCTTTTTTCATAAATCCTGATTTTATATTTTTAATTTTATAATTTCTACATGTTATCTTACTAGATTTAAACTGATGATCTAATATCCGGAAACATCTCAAATCCGGAGTCACCCGACGAGTCCGGACTACATATTTACGACGAGTCCAGATTTCGGACTTTGTACTGTATAATAAATAATAATTCCCCAGGTTGGCGTCAGATCTATGATGTATCTTTGTGAAATGTTTCGGTTTGAGATGTATGCCAAGCAGATATGCAGCAACGGGGCCAAATTACTGATCATACAAATTTAGGCAAGAATGATTGTTTCTTCAATAGCAAGGTATTTTATTCAGTGTCAAAGTGAAATTAAGAATCAGGACTCTCCAAATGTGCATGCGTAAAGCCTACGAGAAAACGTTGTTGGTGATTTTGAGGTCCGGACCGGATTTCAGACTTTGTACTGTATACATATTTGTACGTAAATAATTATGCTGTCAAAAGGTTTTAAAACAGCCTTTCATGCAGAGATCTCTGCAATTCAAATCGGCTTGTCACAGCTCCTATGCCAATTTGAAAAATTTTTAAGGGCTATTATACTATCAAATTCTAGAGCTGCCCTCCTGGCCATTGCTTCATCTTAAGCTCCCGTTTCAGCAGATATTTTGAATATTTGTCTGACCCTTAATGTTTTAATCAAAAACGATAAAGAAATTGCTTTGCAGTGGGTATCAGCACACTGTACACTCTAGGGTAATGAAATAGCTGACTTCCTGGCAAAGAAAGCAACCAGAATTGCTCAAATAACAGATAAACCAATACCTTTTTATACCACCAAACAGTTAATTAGAAAATCTTTTAGGGAGGACTATTGTAAAACATCAAAGAAGGAAACAAAGACTAGAAATGGGTTGAGGAAATCGCAAATGTTTCTCTATGGCCAAGGGACAGATCTGCTGTTACTTTTCGCCTTGCTACTGGCCTTGATTGCCTCTCCAAGCAACTATATCGTATGAAAATATTGCCAAGTCCTCTTTGCCAGTTGTGCAACATTCGTGAGGAAATGGACGTGAACTATTTGAGTCACTGTCCAGCACTGAGCTCGGAACACTTGTAGAAGAAATACTGGAGAGCTTGGCACAAGATGAACGATTTATAGATTTAACTGTAGTTATAGTTTTATTATCTGCTCCATTTGTTTGTATTTCTGACTATGGTTGTCTTCTCATCTGCTATTGAAAATAATAAAAAAAAAAAGTTATAAACTTCTTTGTTTCTTTCTACACCTTTCAGATACAATACCTTATGGTATTTCGATTTTCATAAAGTTTGTAATCTTAGAGGAAAATTACTAGAAAGTATCTTTATCACACATTACTTACTTACTTTGCAGTCTTATTCTTTTCATAGATTTATTAATTTTCAGCTACAAAAAAAAAGCTGTTCACATGTAAATGTACTCCTAATGAAAGTGAATATTCTTATTTCAAAAATTCATAACTGAGGATACTTATCTTTTGACAGGTGCTAATAAAAATTAATCAAGTTTAAGTCTTCAAATTTTTGAGCAAGATTTATATCACAGTTTAAATTAATTACCTTTATTTTTAGATTTCCCAAAGCCTTATATACATTCATTTTTGGTAATGAAAATACTGTAAAATTGGACTTCAAACCATTAAAATCTTAAATTTATCTTCAAATTCTTTTCATAATAATACTCATTAATTTCTGGAAAATGTATGGGTCGCATTAAGTTGCTTCGGAGACTGCATGTGGCCTATGGTCCTGGGTCTGATGCACTGAAAACACATTAAGATTCAACATGTATTTTCATATTAACAGCTGAGTTATTTTCAACACTCTTATTTGCTAAAATCAAGCGTGCTCATCAGTACTGTGGAAAGAAGGAAGTATTGAATGTGTTTGAGCTGATATATTTTAGTATATTATGGCCCATATTGATTTGGTTTGGTGCTCGTGATGAGTATTGAGGTTAGAATCCTGGAGAAGCATGGATGTTTGTAAATGTATAATGTCTGTGTAGCATGAGGACATTTAAAATTTTGTCAAGCTGAAAGTTTTCTCAAGTAATTTTGGTAGTAGAAAAAGAGGGCTAGGAGACTCTCAGACCCATCCCCTATGAATGCTGTATCAAAATTGGGGTTGATCCATATAATTACATACTATGGTATTATATCTGTAAGACCATTCCATGAATTCTAGCATCCCACCCATTTCTTCATGCATTTTTCTTTTGGTCTCAGTGTAAACTATAGAGAGGCATGGTTACATATGATTATGAAATAGGAACTAACAAAATTAAGAGAAATTGAATTGTAACTGAATGCAACTGTAAATAATTAAATGCTTAATTTTTACAATTTGTGCTTGTATTTTGCTAGCTGTAATTACCTAATCCTGAATAATAGTTTCCTGAATAATAGTTTTAAATGAAAATATTTGTCATCATTAAAAAGATGCACCAGTATATGCACAGATAAGAGTTGTGAACACTGATAGTTCTGGATTTGGATTCTGGCTAACAGGCTAGCTGCATGAACATTTTTAAAATTTTCTGTGCGTAATGGGAAAACAAGCCATAAAAATTCCTTCATGCAGAAGTTCTTCCTGGCAGATAACCTTAGTGTACTTGACCATAATGAAGTAATTATATTTAATCATTGTTAACAAAAGATGATTTTGTAATATTAAAAAAATTATGAATAATTATTTTATAGGTTTTATGCCTACATGCCTTAAAGCCAAGATTAAGATTACTAGAATATATAAAACCAAAACGAGGTATGTCTAAACAGAAGAAGTTAACCGATTATGGAAACCCTGCAAAAAAGCAGAAAGTAGAAGAAATTGATGAAGCAGAAACCACAGAATTTCTTAATAATATATCTTCAGAAAGATTGTCATGTGCTTCCTCAATTAAAGATTTCAAATTTAACAAAAAGAGAGTCAGAGTGATTTCTGAAGCTAAAGATATACCAAAAAATGCAGAAACTATTGTGTACTGGATGTCAAGAGACCAGCGTGTTCAAGGTACGGATTCAGAATTATCATAAGTGTTTCAAAAAAATTATTGGCACTTTTCTGTTATCGGAACCGAATTCAGAAATGTATATATGTATTTATGTATATATGTATGCTTGCATGTATGTATATATGTATGTGTATGTATACATCCAAACATATACACATACACACATACTTACATACTATACATGCACTTCTGAATCCTGTCTTGATAATAGAAAGGTACCAAATTATTTCTGTTCAGTAACTTAAATGTAGGTATTACTTGGGAAGAATTTGTATCAAGTATTTTACTGATTTATTTAATGAAGTTTAAATATGTTTAATAAATTACTAATGTCTCTGGTAATGCTAATTTAATTTAAATAATGGATTGTTGGGAAAACATCACAGCTTCTTAAAATTTTAAGGAATTTAGGAATTATATTAAATATGTACTTATCTGTATATTCCCAGAAATTTAAGGCAGGAAAAAATTACGATTAAATTAGATTCAAACGCAGAAGTAAAAAATAAGGGTACTTACATGTTAACACAAGCACCTTGGTGCAATTTGACAATTTTTTACAGATGAAAAGGTTACTTATCGAGTGCAAGTTGGTGGTTTTACGCCTTTTGTTTAATAGAAAAATTCCAAACAATTGATATTTAAGGTATGTTGGTAAACATTATCAGTGTTTGAAAAAAAAAAAAAAAAAAAAAAACCCAACAACAACATGTTTTAACCATTTAAAATGCAGCTGTCTATGAAATGCATTTCCTTGTTGTTTCCATTAGAAAAATTTTAGCAAAATTCTATATTCATGTAGAAATTTTACCACAGTTTTTTTTCATTGTTGGCAAATTTCACAAGCTCATGTTTTAAAACTAAGTTTAAGGCAAAAAATATCACAATTGTTTAAAAAACCTTTGGAACTTGGAATATAACAAAAAAGAGCACATATGAAAATGACAGCATTGCTTGACTGAAAGATTGGTGTAAGTATAGTTTCCGAAAGAGAAGTTATGTGCATGTTTGCCAGAGTTTGGCACATTCTAAAAAATTTGAAGACTTCTACTAAGGTGGTTGTGTTAAAATGTAATTATCAAAATAAGTGCTAGTTTCTTTAAATTCTTAAAAACACACTGACTACCAAAAATTAATTACACAATGGCAAAATCAGCAAAAATGAAAAAGACTTTTAATTAACACCAAATGGCAAAACAATATTTATATAAATTATATGATGATGACATGTTTGGATCATTAACAAATTGAAAGCTAAAATCAAACAAATAAAGCTTACATTGATAAGTTATGTAACCACCTTGAATTTTCACACAAGAGTGATTCTGTATGCTTTCATTGAGGTGATCTATCAGTGCAGATGCTATCAATAGTCATTTCTCCATTGGGACAGTTTCCAGCTGTCTGAGACTGAATGGAGAAGATAAATGTGCAGAGACAGCTTGCTGTGGAGCATCTCAAATATTTTCATTGGGATTAAGGTTAGGAGAATACAGTGGCCACTCCATATGAGAAATGACCTCACTTTTCAGGTACTTGTTAACAGTGTTGGCTTAATGGGGACAGCATTATCATCAAAGACTGATGAAGTGTACAGTTTCACAATGAGGTGTAGGACTTCATCCCAATACCATGCAGTGGTCACATAACTGTCTTTAAAGATGATCAATTGCATGTCATATCCCACTGAAATTCCAATCCACACCATTATGCTGTCACCTCTGAATGAATGATGTTCAATGATATTCCAGGCCTGATTCTATGGTGCATTTCACACCCTTATCATTTGATTCTAGTCAAAATTTCAACTAAGACTGTAACCGTGGATATAATAGTTTTGGAGATCATTTGCTGATTCCGCTTGGCTACTGTAGCAGTATATAATATTCAGAAGGGGGGATAACCTTTGTTCGACAGCTGACAGATCCTCAGGCAACCGTTTTATTTGTATGGAATTGTTTCTACAGTTCAAAAAATAACCAAATAATCAATGCCAAAGAAAAAAGCAACATCTTTGATTGACTGTCTTGCTTCAGTGTGTTCAAAAGCATGCCACTTGAATGAATTATATTTCAATAGAAAATAATGAATTATATTTCAGAATGCATTGACTGACTAACTAGCATTTTATAACATATGTTCGGAGAGCCAAACATGATTGTATGTAACATCCAATATTTACCTACTGCCATCTGCATCCATAGTGATTTTTAGCTACTCAGATTTTACTATGCTTTAAAAAATTGCAAATTTGCATCGTGTGCTTAACTTTTGAAAGTCAGTGTAGTTTATAAAGTAAAGAAGTTATCTAATAGAGGTAGAAAATTAAAACACGTATTTACAAAATATTATTTACAAAATCTGAATGAGGTATTTACAAAATCTGAATGGATTTTTAATGAAGCACACTGAACTTATACTTTCAGTAACTGTATAGGATAAATTATAAGAGAGCTGCTTAATAAAGTGATTGCATAGTTTTGAAGGTGCTTTGATGAGAAGAAATGGACTTCTACTATGTATTTAAGATCTATCAGAGGTGGGAGCTTGATATACTGAAGATATTCCTCATAAAAGATGAAAAGAACATGTTAAGGGAGGGAAATGCATCAAGCCAGTATGAAAAACTGAATGCTTTTCTAAAATCACGTTTCTAAAATCAGATCTAAAATCAAGTGAGAAGTTTTCTGCTTTATGTTTATAAGTTCAATTCATTGAAGTTAAATTAATTTTATTTGATAATTAACTTAATTCTGACTAGAGAAGTTATTGCAACTTTGATGTTATTAATATGAGTTTTAGTGAATGAAAAATTATAACATTTTGTTTCAGAGATTTTTAATCAAAAATTCTTTATTAATATGGAAATATACATATAATGTCACTGAAGTGTGTTAAATAAAGTATTATATTTTAAAATATTATCATCTAGTCATCTAAAACTAATTATGTGCACATACAAGTTCAAAATTTTACAGAATGAAGGTTTTGCAGGCTAATAGTTAGTTTGTATTTTTATTTCAATTTTTATTTAATCACCATCCTGCAATGCTTTATTGGTACTTCTCAGTTTTTGCTGTACCATTTTGTCAACTGTTATTTGCATGAAATTTCCATTGTATATCTTTTAGCATATTTAATTTTAGCATGAGAAGGGGATTACTTATTATTTTTTTTGTAAAATACCATATATTTGGAAATTATTAATTGCATTTGCTTTGATTCTTTGCAAATTTAGTAATTACATGACGCAAAATCCAATAAAATTGAAACAAAATAAACAGTCTTTGTCCTGAGAATTTTCCATGTGGAAAGCAGGTACTTATGTATTATCCTGTTCACCGTGAAAGTGTTGCTAAGCAATGTGATTTATTACCAGTTGTGGATAAGTAGGATGTAACAGCACATTTATAATATCCAAGCTTTCACTTGACATAACTACATTAGATTCTCAATAAGCCATGTTTTGTTTTTATGAAAAAGGATTTAAATTTATTGTTATTGCTGTATTTTCCCTACATTTTGAAGGAAATGATTAAAATTTGGGTTTGGTTTAGTTTATTTAATTATGCCAAAGCACTTAAGGGCCAGTTGCCTAAGAGGAGGGATACCTTCGTGGAAGACTTCTAAGGAAAACTGGCTCATATACATGTTACACATGGGGAAGAACCATGAAAATGCCCATGCAGACAGCCGCTTGTCGAGATTTGAACCCCAGACCAAATTACCAGTAATCAGCAACTTTACCACTCGGCTGCTGGTGGGCCGATTAAAATTTGTGACCTGCATTCTACTGAATAGTATGCAGTTGTTTATTTTCATCCTATCATCAAAACAAAGTGTGTATTAATCAGCATGACTTGGTTAGCTGAATATAGCCGGCAAAACAGTAATAGACAAAAAATTACCTGCATAAAGTTTGTTCTCATGACATTGTAAGCAGAAATTCTGATAAAAATCGGAAAGCTTAACAAAACAGTAGAAATCAACGAAAGGTATTTTATGAAATGCAAAAAGTTGCGGCTTGAATACTGATTCTTTATTAAATAAAGGGACATCAGTTCCTTCATAATTCCACAAGAATGATTGGCAGAACTTTGGTGAGATATGTGCAAACTTTCACGGTCAACAGAATAATATATAAGTATTAAAAGTGTTACCAAACATGATGCATTGCATCCTCTCCCTTGGTCTCCTCAACAGAAGACAGAATATTATAAGAATAGAATAAAGGAAAGAAATATTGCCATCTTTCTAGAAAGGCCCAGAGTAGCTCCTGGGATTGTCAAAGAAAGGAAAGTAGAGCCAGGAATGGTATTTTTGGTGATGTATTGATGGGCCCTAGTCCATACATAAGTACCCATTTTTTTATGTCACTTTAATTTCTTTATAAATCTATAATAAAGTTTTGATAGCTTTTCTTGAGAGTTATTCATATTACATCTAAACTGCTGTGAACCACAAATAATCATCAAACTGAAATTAGCAAACTACAATTAGATAAGAAAACAATTTATTTTTTAAATAGATATGTTTATAATTTGTTTCTTCTTTTCAGACAACTGGGCACTTCTGTATGCTCAATATCTTGCTTTTAAGGTTGATCTCCCAGTCTGCATTTGTTTCTGCTTGGTTCCGAAGTTTTTAGATGCTACTATTCGACATTATCGCTTCATGCTGAAAGGTTTGAAAGAAGTATCAGAGGTATTTTTTTTTTTTAAATTATGGGATTGAAATGTATTTAGATTTAGACTGATCAGATCAGAAAAATAGCTGTAAAGTGTAATCTGTTAGAGGCTCAAATCAATTATTATATCAAAAAGAAAAGTTATAAATATATCTTTAAACAATATGCGCTTAGAGCCTGAGCTGAATGCAGCCTGTGTAATTGTTTCATCTTGCCTATTATGAAATACTGTGCAATGGCATTTTCATCTATTTCCTACCTGATTTTGTATGCAAATTTCCAAAATCAGCAGCATAAGTGTGCATCTGTTGTTACAGTGTATACGCTTACATGTATGCTTGACTGTACTATCAGTCAGCCTAATCTGAGAACATAGATACGCTTTCCCGAACAATAAAGTTCTATCATTTATAGTAGCTTTAATTTAGAAGTTAAACAATGAAATATAGAAATCTAAAAAAAAAAAAAAAGGCTTAGGGAAAGAGTGTTTTTCTCTTAATTTTTATTTAGAAAGGAAATAGTATGCCTGTCAGTTATTTGATGATGAATAGAAATAGATCCTATTTTTGGCATATTTAGAGAATTACAAATTGCCAGAAATGATAAGTCATTAGTGTGTATGGATGACTTGAAAAAAGGGGGGGGGGAAGATTATGATTCTGTTATAATTTGATTCAAAGTATAATAGATTGATGAAGATCATGGTGAGAAGTACTTTGGTATTATCGTAACCACCTTGGCACAATTTAGATAATTTTTTAAGAAAACGACTGGCAATTTCAAATTACAGAAAGTTATTTATTTCATATCATACATGTTATTAGGTGCATATTTAAATTTAAATATGATATTTTTCCCAGAAGACAATTTATAAAACTACTTACAAATGGTGTTTTCTGCATGTAATTATTCCAGTCTACAGTTATATGGGCCACTTTTAAGTCTTCCAAGCAAAATTTAACACTCATTAATTTACTCCAGCAGTATACAAATCTGACTGCTGTAATAAAAGGCAGACGACTACTCTCGAACAAATTACCGCTTCTACTGGTGATGTGCTTATTACACGTTTTCACTTTGCATTCCCCCCCAAAAAAAGGAAGTCATTTCAAAAATTCATCATCATCAAATGTGAATCTGAACATTCCCCGCCTTTGTAATAAAATATTATATTCCAGGAAAAATTTCACAGAACTTTTCATCCTTTGCAGGCAGATCTCACAAGCGCATGCTTCAAAATTCAGCTGAAAATCAAAAATATTACAATTTGCCATAAGAGCTTCTGTTATAAAGAAAACAGTATGCACAAAAAGGGCGATATTGCTTATTTAAATGTTGTTGTTGAAATGGTTATGCATATGGTCAGGGGCATAGCAAGGATTGGAGCTAGGGGTGTTGAAATGATCTTAGACCAAGAAATTGAAACTATGATATGACACAAGTTCGTCAGTGGTAGAGTAGATAAAATTGCTGAGCACAAGTAATTCTATTTGAAAGCGAATTAATTGGTTGGCTGCTTGAGTGTTTTTGTAATTTTTTTCCCTCATGTATTATAAATTGAATATGAGCCAGTTTACTTCAGAAAATTCTCCTCTGAGACAGCTTTCCTTCAGGATAGCACTCACATGCTATGCTACAGTCAAATAAATGAGCAAATAAATAACGGAACTGAAATACATGAGTTTAAACAGATTGTTGAAATATGGGAGATAGGGCCTTCTGAACATTTTTACTTGGTCTTTAATTTATATTACAACAATTTTTATGCTATTTGAACTAAATCATTCTAAAACTTCTGTCTCTATTCTTGTTTTCTGAACAAGCTTTCGATGCACACTTAACATACACAGCCCATTTAAGCAATTCTCTGTCACTGTACAGCACAACTAAGTTTTTTACTCTGCGCAGGGTACTAAATGAACGCTTAATATAATACACGTAGTACATAGTTCAGACAAAGATACAAGAAGAGCACATTTCGTTTCTGGGAAAAATAGTGTCTCTTTTTTTACCAAATCTTCCATAGTTAACTCCTTCATGTTGTCAATCTGTAGTTTCTTCGTTTTCCAGAAATTATACCAGATTTTTCTTTCATTGTCAAAATTTTTGAGATTATAAAAATCATGAAAGCACTCTGCTTTGTTGTTAAATTCTTCCACTGGCATCTTTAATACACCCACAGGATGTAATAACAACAAAGAAAATGCTGGTAAGTTATTGCTGGAATATCTTTTTTCCAGCGATAATATTAAAGAATCCAGGTAGAAATAATAAGAGATCTTTTTCAGAATTCATCGGTTGTAGATGCTGAATGATTTAGGCAGTGTTTTTGCACTTTTACAATTCTCGGTGCTTGCAATTCAGTGCCAATGCTCTCAGCCATAGCACTTGGGAAAGACAGAATTTCTTGGCATAAAACATCTGTTGGTCTATGATGTTCTTTTACAAGCACTAAAATTCTGTTTATGTGGTCTACACATTGTAGCTTATTTAAATATGTTAACTGTAAAATATTAGCAATGGTCTTGCAGAGCTGAATATTTTGCAATTAGTCCTATGCACGCAATAAATTCAGATTTCATCGCAGCACAATGTAATTGGAAAGCAGTTTTCCTGCTAGATGCATTACCTTCTTTTGATAACTTTTCCAGTCCCTATACTATGTTTATAAATGTTTTTTAAATATACTAATATTTCTGCATTTCTGAGACTAGCATGTGTCACATAAGTTTGGAATATTTACTACAGTACAAAGTCTGAAATCAGGACGTCCATTATTCGAAATGATCCAAAATCTGGACCTCGAAACCACAAACAAAATTTTTCTCGTAGGCTTTACGCATACACACTTGATTCCCCCCTCCGCGCATAATAAAACATCTGGAGAGTCCCGATTCTAAATACAATGCCTTGTTACTGAAGAAACAATCATTTTAGCATAAATTTGTACCATAAGTAATTTGGCTCCATTGCTGCATGTCTGCTTGGCACACATCTCAGACCGAAACATTCCACATAGATACATCATTGATCTGACGCGAACCTGTGGAATCATTATTTTTACATATTATACTTTCCTTTCATCATCGCAGGTTTATCAAAACATGACAACTAGAGTCACATGTAACGATGCCTAAACAATTTTTTATGTTAGTAATTGAATAATAAAGGAGTATGGTAACCTATTATGTTGACATTACACTTGGCAGTGATTACATATTTAAGTTAAATGCGCTAAAAAATTTTGACGAGGAAAAATATACCAAAAATTACTTTCCATATGCTAAACATAGATTTTGTTATTGATACTCATAGACACAAAGATTACATTTAGGGTTATTTGAATTAAGAATAGCTGATTTGTTATTCATATAAATCCAGAACCAGCGCCAGCGCTTGTGTGGCCGCACCAAGTTGCAGAATTTAGGACCCACAGAGGCTGCATCAGGCAGTAAGATATCTAGCGCAGATCCTCAATGAGGCCTAAGTATATGTAAAAATTTATTTATTTAGAACACTGATAAGCCTTAAGCATGTGCAAGAAATAGACATAAGTATAATAAACAACTAAATTAATACAATTCAGGCTTAATTATCTCAGTGCGTGATAGAAGCAGGATAAAATTTAACGGATCAACTTGTCGTTAGTCGCCAAGTTCATGATGCATAGCCAAATATGTATAGTGAAGAACAACTAAATTTGATGATGATAGCTGCTAAATTTAAAGGTTTTTGGATATCGCAAAACAAAAAGTAAAATTTTCAAATTAACGGATTTTGTAAAGAATGTGAAAAAGCGGTAATAAAATGAAGATGATATAAAAGAAGTTTTTCATTATGATGGCAATGCTTTTCAATCATCAATCAATTAATGAATGGTGAAATCTGTGGTACGGTTCTAGATCCAGAAAAGTCGGCTACCGAGTGTGATGAAAGTGATAGATCAGTTACTGAAAACGAGAAAATTTTGATTGACAAGTTAGTCGGAATTCTCGAAACAGCATTTACAGGACTTCAACAATGTAAATGAACAAGAGATTATGTCTGTCTACAGAATTAAAGAGAAAGTATTAGCACAAAAAACGAAGCAACTTAAAATAGCTTACATTGAAAGAAATGTTAATAAGGCAAACAAATAAATTTTAAGTTTTTTTTTTTTTTTTTTTTGTAAATTTTAATACCGTTTAGATCATAAATACTTAATTATTTCATATTTTTAATTTTATAATTTCTGCTTGCCATCTTACTACATTTAAACTGATGATCCAATATCCGGAAAAATCCGGAATCGCTGAAGTCCCAATGAGTCCGGATTTCGGACTTTGTACTGTATATATCTTCTTTGGAAAACAGATTCACGAGAAAAGTTTATCACATCCTTTACAGTAGCAATAATATTTCATATTTTCAATGTGCAGTTCAAATTATTCACAGCTAAATTTAGTTTGTGACTGGCATAACGGAAAAACAAGGCAGTTTTATACTTTTGTTGCAAGATCTTCTGCACGCCACTAATATTCCCTGCCATAGTTGAACATCCATCATAATACTGTCCAACACATTTATTTGGATCAAAAACTTCCCTTCTCAGAAAAATGTCTAATTCATTTACTACAGAATGAACATCCATTGCATTTAGTTAATAAATCCTAGGAATTCTTCCTGGACAGCCATCCTTTCTTCATCAAAAAATCAAATACCAATTGACAATTGCTCCTTCCCAGATATATCGCTTGTTTCATCTGCCAATATGCTGTAAGAAGAAGCTTTTTTTTGCATCTTGTAATATAATATCTTTCACCACCAACCCACGCAAATTGATCAATTCGTTTCAGATTTGAGGTGACATATAAGTGGCATTTTTACTACCTTTTTCAAAATGTCTTTGCAAACTTTTTATCTCCTGCTTCGATTCTTAGATGAATGAAGTCCTGATAATTCCCTTCCTGTTTTGTGTTACCCCTTAGAGAGAGGTCATGGGTTCCACAAAATATGATTGTGGAAATTATTGACGCTA